CCTATCATTTCATTAGGGGTAAAAATCACTCGTGGTCATTTCTTGTTTAATGTTTATGACTAGCTATATGATTTAAGGGAGAATCACATTTTTCTGTTACATAGTCTACATAAAATAGGAACAAACAAATTCTTCAGCATGGAGAACAGAGTTAACATACATGCTATTGCTTCATAAAACAGATTCGTTTGGCATTTCTAGTTAAAAGTAAAATTAGGGCTTCTGGAATGAAGAATTCTTTGCACTTCTGAACTTGTAGTTGAGGATTCTTCTGTTAAGAACATACATATTTCCACAACAGATTCTTTTTCTTTTTTGCATTTACTACTGCTAGAATGTTCAGAACTAAATGGTTGTCCTACTTGTTAAATATTACTGTATACTCTTTATATTTTTTAGAACTTTTTCTTAAACCCCATCTTCTTCATACACTAATTTTAATTTTTAACAAGTTTACTTGGCCAAATTTAACCTATCTCAAAGTATATATCTCTATATGCTTACATTAAATTGAAGAGTATTGTGACGAAAATATTACCCAGGTTCCTGAACCTCTTGAGGAGTTATTCCTTTCAGCAATGGTAAGTTAGTATTATTTAAATTTAAAATACTATTCCTTTCAGCAGTAGTAATTTCACTGCCTGGTTCTTGCCTTTGCATTGCTCTTCTCTACTGGATTCTGATTCTTATCCATCTGGTGCTAGACTCAAGACCTCTCCTTTCCTCCCTCTTCTTTACCATGTACTGGAGTACAAGTTTTTCTGGTCAGATACTCTCCCTCCACTCCCTCCTCATTCAAATCAACATATGTAAATAGGTATCAAGCTTGCAAATGTGCTACTTCATTTAAATTCCTGAAATCCTTTCATCTCAACCCAGATCACACTAAAGGTTTATTCTACCTTATTCTACCTGGGAAGCCAGCAAATGTTCCACAGAGCCTAGGGGAGAACACACTTGCACGATTTTCTCTGCTCCTGGTTCCTCCTGTCCCCTTCACCCCCAGAGTGATGCTGCCATTCTTGGGACTGAACACTTTGATTGGTCTCTTCTAACATTATTTCAGTCACAGTGTCTCCACCAAGACGCTCCCCTGCTGGTGATATCCTCTCATATAGTCTTCTCCACGATTTTCTTGCCTCTGATGCACACGCTACTTGTGGGATATCGATGGAAATAGCTCAATTAATTTCCTAACACTTGGAAGAATGTGTGCTTCATGAGAAATAGTGTGTGTCAATAACTCCGTGGGAAAAGTACAAGAGTCCTATGCTCTTTCTAGATTCAGGGAAAGGAACATTAATTAAAGAAATTCTTCTCTGTTTTTTTCATCTCAGTCCTTCTAAGTTATATAATAAAATTTGGTTTTATAATTTTTCCTATTCAGGAATTATCCCTGGATTTTAACTATTTGAGTCAAGTGAGTTCAATTAAATATTAAACTGCATGGAGAGGAAAGTATATTTTAAAATCATGTTAGCTATAAAAAATAAGACACTGCTCCTATTCATAAGACATTTTAGAGCAATACACTTTTTTCCCCATTTCAGGCAGCATAGAAGTGTCATTGTGCAGGATTTGAAAACTGATGCCAGCACTCTATTTCCAGGAACTATGATTTAAATACTTTTTAATGTTTTTTTCTAAAAATTTAAATAGGTGATATTAATGTGCAGTCAGGTAGGCAGTAGATTATACATAAATTTGTACAATCAAGCATAATAAAATTGAATAATTATAATATAGTTATTATATATAATAATTAACTGGATTATATATGGTATATATATCACCAGCATATATATTATATATTATAATTATATATCATGTCATTAAGATGAGGTCCCATTCTCAATGGTTCTCACAACCACCTACTTTCTTTATGATAAATGGTTTCAGTTACCTGTCTTTTTTTATACCTCCCCAAATTATTGCAATATGGCATTTATAAGTAACCTCTTTAATTTTCAGTTGCCATTTTTTTCTACTTGAATTAGTTCCTTCTAGTCAGGGACCTGGAGCAACAGTACAGCGGGTAGGGCATTTGCCTTGCATGCAGCGGACCTGGGTTCAATTACTCTGCCCCTCTTGGAGAGACTGGCAAGCTACTGAGAGTATTTCACCTGCACGGCAAAGCCTGGCAAGCTACCTGTGATGTATTCGATATGCCAAAAACAGTAACAAGTCTCACAATTTGTTGGGAGACGTTACTGGTGCCCGCACCTGCTGGAGCAAATCGATGAACAATGGGAGGATAGTGCTACAGTCAGGGACGAAGATGTGCAGTTAATGTGATTTTATACATAACAGCTTGTGATATAGACAAATTTATAGATCATCATTAATTTTAGTTCTTTATTTTGACATCTTTATTTTGACATCTTTATTTTGACATCTTTATTGGGAATATGTCAAAAATAATAGTGCCTAATTCATAAGGCTACATGAGGACACAACACACAATAAAGTAATGTCTGCTTAGAACCTGCTGAGTGATTTGTGAATACTAGCTATTTTCACTAGTCTTGTTCACTTCAGAATCTGGCAAACTGATCTGCATTACTTAAATTCTTGTTAAGAATACCATTATTTATGACTTCACAGGTCAGATTTATTGAAATCTAGTGGGCCATTAGCTTTTCTTAAACTAAAGGAAGACAGTTGTAAGTTCAAACTATGCAACTTAGACAAAGGGTCTTGTGATGGTTTTGCTGTTTGCTTGCTTATTTGTTTGCTTTTTAGTATTGATACAATCTCCACATTTCCCTAGCAGTCTCCATGTCTTAGGAGATGACCTCTTTTAACTACATCAGTTGAACTTTTAGGTCACCAGACTTGATTTCTGGCAACAGGAGATGGTCAGGAGAGTACAAGGGCAGAAAGACAGATGGAACATATATTCCCATACTCTCCCTCCTTGAAACAGAATAGTTTAGTATTGTTTATGAAAGATTAATAATGAATTATATCTTATATACTTCATAAGGTATATGGTTTATACGCTGGTCTAAATTTTTCTATATTATTTCAACTATCTTATTAAAAATATTACTAGTATTTGAGGGATTGGAGAGATAGCTAAAAAGCTGGGGTACATGCTTTCATGCTGAAGACCTATGCTTAACCCTGGCACAATAGGTACCCTGAATACTGTCAGAAACAACACTAAATGCGAAGCTAGAAATAGTCCTGCGCATCACAGGACTTTAAAGTATTACACTACAGGATTTTGTGAAATTGGGAGATTAATTCATTTCACACTTATTTTAACGCAGGTTGTTGGACTTTCAGATGGAAGTAGCTACATTATAGATAATTATGGAAACAGAGTTACAAGGCTGAGTATTACTGATGAAATATTTAGAATAATATTATGTCCATAATATAGTTACATTATAGATTGTTATAGAACCAGATGTATAAGGCTGTGTTACTAATGAAATATTTTTTTAAAAACTGTCCATAATTTTTTTAAAGAAACAGTAAGTGGACTTGAGCATCCTTGATTTCAATTAGAAACCCTTAATATGTATGAATTTTCAGACTTTTGTCCTTTTTCATATACCACTTCATGGACTTCATAATTTTTTAAAATAATATTATTCTAAGATTTATTAAACAGGACTTTTTTTTTCTGAGGGCTGTATGATAAAAGAGTCTTTCTTCAGCTGCTATCTCTTTGAGACAGTTAGTCCTGGTAATATTTAATGTCTTTTCCAAAGACAGGTGTCACTTGTCTTCTTTGCTTCTGCATAATGAAACTATGAATTATTCCTTTAAACATTATTATAATGTTTGGGACATACTAAAGTTGTGCTCAGATTATATAAGAAAATAGGGGAAAGTTTAAAAAATTAACCCATCCTCACATCTTGAGAAGTTAGAAGGAGAACTACAAATGAAAGACAGAGTAAATGAAATCTAAATCAGGAAAGCAATACAAAGAGTTAATAAAAGCAGGAACTGTTTTTTGAAAGTCTAAACAAAAATAATTTTAACTATGTCATGATGATAAAATCCTAATAAACTGAGGCAGAGATAAAAGGGCAGAAATATAATATACAATTCAAAAATACAAATGGTCATATGAAGTTACAGTGAACTTATGTCACTAAGTTGCAGAACCTAGAAAAAATGGATGAAATGTAAATGAATACTTCTCCAAAAACTGAATAAGGAGGAAGTATAAAATTTGAATAGGCAAATTACAAGAAAGAAAAAAAAATCTCCCTCAAGCCAAAGGGAGTTCTAGTAAACCTTCTACGAGATTTACTACTTACTCTCTTGAACTCTTTCCTAACAGCTTCTATTAAACCAACATTACTTTAGCACCAAAAGCAATCTGGGATATTTCTAAAGAAGAAAATAATAGGCCAATAGTCTTGATGAACTTAAATACAAAGACCCACTGAAAGCCTCTCTTCTAACTATAAATAAAACATAAACTCCTCAAATTCATCCCAAGCGATCTCTTCAATGTAAATTCCCCTCTCCTTTATTCTTTGTTCTGGTTTTCATACTTACTAAATTCTAAACCCTAGTTCAGAGAAATCAAATACACTATAAAACAAACAGAAAGAAAATATGCCTATGGGAGTCAGTGTGCACATACTGATTGTCATCAATAAATGTCTGTTTCATGAATAATAGCCTCTAGTTTATTCTGTCAAATAACTGAATGCATCCTGTGGAAAGCAGATTAACACATTTAACACATTACTCTCCCAGGTGAGAAAAGACAATCTGTTTGACTGTTAAACTATTTTTTAAAAATATATACTGTCACTGTCCTCCCGTTGTTCATCGATTTGCTCGAGCGGGCCCAGTAACGTCTCCATTGGAGATTTTGTTGTTACTGTGTCTGGCATATCGAATACGTCACGGGGAACTTGCCAGGCTCTGCCGTGCGGGCGAGATACTCTCAGTAGCTTGCCGGGCTCTCTGAGAGGGGCGGAGGAATCGAACTCGGGTCGGCCATGTTGGCTGTGTGCAAGGCAAACGCCCTGCCGCTGCACATATACTAAAATTGGAACGATACAGAGAAGATTAGCGTGGCCCCTGCGCAAGAATGACACGCAAATATATACATATATATGTATATATATTTTTCTTGGTTGTTGTTGCAGGGGCACACCCAGCAGTGTTCTGGGCCTTGGAGACTCCAGGAGGTATTTGGGAAGTCATGGGATGCTGAGGATGGATTCCAGGGTCTCACGCATATGCTTTACCACTTTGACTATCACTACAGTCCCAAAAATAATATTTTAAAAAGAATTAAGAGACTTGTAGTGTATCTGTTTATTGAAATTTAGTGGTAATTTATGTAGGCCAGATATTTAGAGACTGGAAAGTTGGTTGAAAGTGATAAAAACCTTTATTATTAAATTCTTTCTTCAGTTTCATGGTCCCTCAACAGATGCATTCTAATTTTCAAAAATAAACTATATGTCAACAAGTTTTGGAAACTTCTGTTGGATAATCTTGGGAAGGAGATATATATATATATATATATATAATTGATTAAATATAATGACACTGAGTATGCTTAAAAAGATATATAAATAATTGTTAGTCATATTTAATGATATTTGGAAAATCATTTCTATTTCAACAAAGCAAACAATTTCTCTTTGGTGAAATGATGAAGGTGGACTCTAAGTTGTCCTTACTTTTGGGTAGTCCTGAGAGCCCAAGTCTATGGTGATACCATGGGTCCCTGTTCTTTTTGCATAATATTCCTTTTCCCAGTTATTTCTACAGAGTGAGCAGGTGGAGGTCAAGTTTGGATCTTCTTTCCTGGATATGTTTTGCTATGACTCTTCTAGTTCTGCCAGGGCACATTCTCTCTAACTGGCTTCTAGTTTTCAGAAGGAAGAAGATTGTATATGAAAATAAAGACAAGGTACAATAAAAACTTTCATTGTTTTCTCCAGAAAGTTTAAAAATCTTATTCATTATCCTTGGATAGATGAACTATTTATGCCACAGTGAATAATATAAATAATATATAACATGATAGACAAAATCAGAGGCTTTAGGAACTATGAAGATGGAACTCAATAGAACCCTGGTAATCACAAAGGCCTTCTAGAGTCTTTTATTTATTTACTTTTTATTAGTGAGAAACCATGAGGTAGACTTACAAATTTTTGTGCTTAGGTTTCAATTATACAATGATCAAATACCCATCCCTCCACCCGTGCCCATTTCCCACCACCACGGATCCCAGTATCTCTCCCCCATCCCACCCCCCCATCCCCCCTCCCCCCCCCCCCACCCCCCGCCTCTGTGGCAAGGCATTCCCTTTTGTTCTCTCTCTCCTTTTGGGTGTTGTAGTTTGCAAAAGAGGCATTGAGTGGCAATCATGTTTGGTCTATAGTCTACTTTCAGCATGCTTCTCCCATTCTAGAGTCTTTTAATGATTTAATGATGACAATTTACATTGAAAGCAAAGCCCTAAGCATTTTCCTATGGAGTTCTCATGGTCACAGTTTGTTCCTACTGAAATATGTAAGTACTTTTGAATCCTTCTCTTTTCGTGAGCTCCAGATACTTTCAGTGGGAGGTTAGGTTTATGGAACTATCTTACATTATTTCTGCCTTCTGTAAATCTGGATTTAGGTTTCATTAGCAGCAACATAATAACATTTCACTAACACCTTTTTTTGGACCTCTAGGGAAGAATTGATATAAGACTCATGAATGTACTCTGTCAAAAATTTCAGTGGCTGACAGCCAATATTTTAACCCCCAACACCACTGGTACACCATTACTCCTGTATACTACACATGTGGACAGTGTTTGTGGGCTATGACCTTTCATCTTTCTCTTCTACCAGGCTGTTAGAGTTGATGACTCTTCCAGACTCAGTAATGACTTAAGTCTGACTCACTGTCTTCCTCTTAGTTTCTTGTCCCACCATCTTTGCTGGAAGGGGCATTGTTTTGTTAATTAGAGAACTAGATTTGAAAATAGCTCAACCTTCTACCTATTGTGTGATAAGCAGTTGCTTTCTACATGTAAAACATTGTACTAGTAATACCTCCCCCAAAGCTTCAGTTATTCTACATCACATGGGGTACTAGAGTGATGTGGGGGAGGCAGTGGTAGTAACCTCAGGTGCAATTGGGAGGCACTTTCTGTTTGCTCCATTAAAGATAGTAGGTTTCCCCTCATGGGATGAGGGGCGCTCCGCCCGTCCTTCACGCCCGACTGAGGTCACCAGTTGCCTCCCACAAGCGGCTCTCCGGCACGGCCATGGCCCCAGAAGCACAGAGACCAATCTCTTAATTATCTGACTCTCAGTAGAAATACTTGCAGGGTTAATAAATAAAATAGGAGAAATCCAAAACCACGCGGCCGCAATAGCGGCTGCGTGACATCATTTAATTCTTGAACCCAGCTGTAGAAAGCAGATCATTTCACAATGCCTTTTCAGCATGGCTGAGTTTGGGGGTGGGGGTAAAGTCTAAATAATAATGGTGCAACTTTTATCCAAACAATGAAGCTAGTCAAAGTAGACAGAGTGTTAACTAGAATTCATCTACCCCACAGACATTGGGGGGAGGTTGGGGGTGGGGGTTTATTGGGGTTATTCATGGTGAAAAATAAGTATTGGTAAAGGGAATTGTGATTGATATTTGCATGACTGAGACCTAAACTTGAAAGCTTTGTAACTTTTCCCACAGAGATCCAATAAATAAATAAATAAATTTATAAAAAAAAAAAGATAGTAGGTTTCCAGGGGTATACTGAGTGATTATTTTTCTGGAAGAGGTGATAGGTCAAATATTCTGATCTTGTTTACTGCATCTCATGGCTACCTGTTCCACTGCTATCAACTGCATTCATAATGGTCTCTTGTTAGAGAAACTCCTGCTTATCTTTTAAAATTTAGATATCTCACACATTTTATTGAGCTCTCTACTTTTCATTTTGGATCAGTGCATTTTACAATGGTTTTCCATTTAGCCATCAGAAGTTATTTTAACTGTTTAACTCTCTAGTTATTGACTACAGTGGAAAGTTCTCAAAGACTGTCCAGATTAGTGCTTGGCATACAGTAGGAACCCAACGAGAGGAATTGCACAAACTGGGAAGATTGCTCATAGTGAACCCTGACACACCAGACTTGTTCATTGTTGATATATGGGCTTTGATTATCATTTGAAAAGAGTTGAAATTAGCCTTGCAGATAATTCTGTCTGACCTTTAGAGAAATGAGCTAAACAAGACTATCAAAGTGTCTCTCCTAAGAATTTCTGAGAATCTAAATCTTATTATAGGATTCTGTGAGCACCTGCTATCTTTTCTGGGTATCCATGGGTGCTTTATAAAGCTTAACTGACTTACTATACCCCTCTCTATGCTTTACCAAAACAAGTCTATATCCTTTAAGTGAGTTTAATTTGCCACTATTCCTTTTTAAAATAGTTTTCTTTCATAGACTAGGAATTGTAACAAAATGGACCTATGTACTGTTATGATACATCTAGTTTTATATTTTTTGTGCTTTTAAAAATTCTACTACTTATAGCACAGCGGGTAGGGCGTTCGCCTTACAAGCAGCCAACATGGCCGACCCGAGTTCGATTCCTCCGCCCCTCTCGGAGAGCCCGGCAAGCTACCGAGAGTATTCCATATGCCAGACACAGTAACAGCAAAGTCTCCAATGGAGATGTTACTGGGCCCGCTCGAGCAAATCGACGATCAACGGGAGGGCCTTTACCTTTACTCACCTAAGTAAAATTAATATTTTTGTTTCTCTATTATCCAGTAATTGAATCACATCTGAACTCCAGACACAAATTGTGATTTAACTTGTTGTTTTGGATCCTGTGTGGATTATAGACCTTTGGAGCAAAGTTCTAGGAAGGGGTGGTGTGCTGACTAGAAGCCACTGAGTCTCGGAGCCTTGGGAGAGGGTAAATACGTGGGATATACACCAGTTTATGAATGGTACAGGAAAAACTGTCTTTAGATATCAGAGAGGCAAAGCTATACAGAGGATATCAATAGCACAGTGGTAAAGGATTTTCTTCAGAATTATTGTGCAAATTATTGCTCGGATCGTGATTAAAATGTTCCCTCGTTTTGTCCTTTCCATTCTTATCTCTTATTGCTGCATGAGAGATGGATCAAAAAACATGAAAAACCAATTTTTCAAATTCTTTAGAAGATAATAACTTAAGCTTATTAGGAAATATTATTCTCATACAAATACTATTGGTGGTAATCAGGATTTTGCTGAAATTCTGAAATAAAGTAAAAAAATCAGAATTTTACTCCTCTGTTATTTCTTGTTAGGCTTTACTAATCTTCTGTCTCAGACCATTATCATTTGATTTCTTTCTAAGCATAAGTACCATAGGTCTTGGAATATATTATAAATGGCAATGCTGTTGCTTATTAATTTCAAATTATCACTAAAGACTACAAAGAAGTTAGACTCTATTGGTAACATACAATATGTTAAAACAGTGCTAGGTAATTTACATAGGTTAGACCACTTAATTCCCACCACAATATAGTTGTGAGGAGATTATTTTAATCCTTTTAGGTAGGTATACTGGGACTGGAGAACTTAAGTAATTTGATCATCAGTGCACAGAACATGATAAACCTGGATTTGAATCCAATTATGGTTGATTCCAAAAGCCTATTATCATTTCGATACACCCTACTGATACAAGGGAGTATCATAAAATTGAGTGTCTGTCTAACCTCTCTTTGATTATTGACATTTTACTCTATTTTATTTTCTTTTGCTTTTGGGGTCACACCCGGCAATGCACAGGGATTACTCCAGGCTTTGCGCTCAGGAATTACTCCTGGTGACGCTCAGGGACCATATAGAATGCTGGGAATCAAACCCACGTAGGCTGTGTGAAAGTCAAATGCCCTACCAGCTGTACTATTGCTCCAGCCCCAACATTTCACTCTCAAACATTTCACTGAGCAGAGTTGGGTGCAATCCCTGACTCTGCAATAACAACAGTAACATCAGCACAACAACATAGTTCTCTGTGTCTCCTATCAGATGCTGTTATGTCTCTTTACAAGGTACACACCTGGACCTGTGCTAGAAAGTTTTATACATTAGAATATT